GGTGTTCGTCAGGGCTGTCCACTCTCCCCATTCTTGTTCAACTTTGTCATTGACGTACTTTTAGAGATAACACTCTCCTCATCTAAATTTCCAGGGGTTGAACTTCTACCGGGAGGTTCACTTGTTGACTTAGAATATGCAGATGACATAGCTTTATTTGGTGAAGACGCTGACAAAATGCAGAGTCTTCTGACCACTCTAAGCAACAATGCAAGCATGTTCGGGATGCGATTCTCTCCCTCGAAATGTAAAATGTTGCTTCAGGATTGGGTTACATCGACACCCGAACTAGTGATAGGGAGTGAAGTAGTTGAGTGTGTCGACCGCTTCACTTATCTTGGAAGTCTCATCAGCCCTTGTGGTTTGGTTTGTGACGAAATCTCAGCACGGATACAGAAGGCTCGACTAGCTTTTGCCAACTTGCGTCATTTATGGCGTAGGCGAGATATCCGTCTATCAACCAAAGGACGTGTTTACTGCGCAGCAGTTCGTTCCGTCCTAATTTATGGCAGTGAAACATGGCCGGTAAGAGTAGAGGATATCCGTAGGTTACTAGTATTCGATCATAGGTGTCTTCGAAACATTGCTCGTATATCCTGGGACCATCGAGTAAGTAACACAGTTGTCAGGAAACGGGTACTAGGTAAGGATGGCAAATCAATTGATGAAGTAGTGAAACTTCATCAGTTGAGATGACTGGGACACGTGTTACGTATGCCCAACGACCGACTGCCTCGACGTGCTATGTTCAGTGGTATAGGAGTAGGTTGGAAGAAAACTAGGGGCGGCCAAACCAAAACATGGCACAAGTCCATGAAGTCACTGACAAGTGAACTGAGTCATGTTGGTAGGTGTAGACTACCTGGTTGGGGACCGCGAGATGACAGCAACCGATGGTTAGAGACCCTGAATGACATGGCTCAAAATCGTTCGCAATGGCGCAGGTGCATCCACTCTCTGTGTTCTCCCAAACTCTAATCTTCTGAATTCTTCATGTCCCTTTTTCCCTCTTCCCAAATTTCTTTCACCGGATTATACTCTTTAAATAACATCTCCAAACCCTAATCTTCCCGATTACTGCTTATACTCTTGCTACCTTTACCACTACGGGATTTGAATCGACCACTGCATCTCTGTGCTAATGTGGTGTGGCAACTCGAACTGATGTACGTACGTACGAAGTTCTACGTTGTTACTGACTGACTGACTGACTGACAAAACTCTTACAAATATATATATAAGGAAAATTAATAGCATCTAGAAATCTCTATTTTCTAGATGGATTCTCATTTCGTATTTAAATCTATGATTTGGACATGTTTCATGCATGCTTTCGAAATAGCTTCTACGATAATCTTTTTACTGATCCTAGAATCAGTTGAATACAATAGGCGATCATTCATTTTGTGGTATGGTGCTGTGAAGTCAACAAATAGTAAAGATTTGTTGATATAAAAGGAGAGATCCCATGATTCACTGGCTTGGAATCTTATTTAACTCAACTAGTAGTAATGTAAAACACGATAATAGGCAGGTGTATTTTCATAATACATATACATAGCCTTCAATCGTCCATTTACATCTTCCGGTGTGTTCTGCAATCTGAACTGGCTTCCAAGTGATCTGCCAATGCCGTGCTTTCGACGCACTGAAACTTTCCACTCTGTCCGACAATTGTTACAACCTCGACACCACGTTCCACTAAACACTACTTGCAAACAATCTTGTGAGTAGTAGCCATTATAGTAGTTATTTTGGAGTCTCTTGTCTTCCAAGAAATCGGAGAGATTGTATTAAGCGGTTATGATAAATATTTCTTTGATTACTTACTTTGTATCTTCTCGACGGTATCATTTATTGATACCGTATAGTCGTATTTGTAGTGACTTTGAAATTGTATTAACCTATTCAAAAGGAGACAGATCTTCATAAGTTTACATAATGTTGTGTGGAATGTTACAGTGACTACATAAAACAAATCCTTTGGAAATGTATCTCGGAATAGCATCTATCTTTTAAAAGGAGAGTAAGAAATAGTTCATAACTCAGTACAAGAACATCTTATCAATTCTGGTCACATTTGCTTTATCAAAATTATCTTTCAAAACAATTCATACCAAAGAAACATGAATCAAAAACATGTGTATTGTAGAGGCTTTAACAATTTAACAGCTCAAGCCTAAACTCTTTGTACAAAATTAGCAGCTAGTCTCTTATTTTACTATAACTCTAACATCTCTTCTAATCTGTCATCGGTTGTTGATAATCTTGTCCAGTTTTTCAGAGTTATTGTTTAGTTGTTGTTACCATCACTTATTTCGTCTTGTCTGCTGAGTGGATGATTAATGATAATGATGAAGTAATCGAACGCTGTCGACAACCTCACTTATCTTGGAAGTCTGATCAGCGCTAATGGGTTGGTGTCTGACGAAATCTCAGCACCGATTCAGAAAGCGCGTTTGGATTTTGCCAACTTAAATCACCTATGGCGAAGGCATGATAGTCAGTCAGTAACAACCTAGAACTTCGTACGTACGTACATCAGTTCGAGTTGCCACACCACATTAGCACAGAGATGCAGTTGTCGATTCCAATCCCGTAGTGGTAGAGGTAGCAAGAGTATAAGCAATAATCGGGAAGATTAGGGTTTGGAGATGTTATTTAAAGAGTATAATCCAGTGAAATAAATTTGGAAAGAGGAAAAAAGGGACATGAAGAATTCAGAAGGTTAGAATTTGGGAGAACACAAAGAGTGGATGCACCTGCGCCATTGCAAACGATTTTGAGCCATGTCATTCAGGGTCTCTAACCATCGGTTGCTATCATCTCGCGGTCCCCAACCAGGTAGTCTACACCTACCAATATGGCTCACACAGTCCACTTGTCAGTGACTTCATGGACTTGTGCCATGTTTTGGGTTGGCCGCCTCTAGCTTTCTTTCAACCTACTCCTATACCACTGAACATAGCACGTCGAGGTAGTCGGTCGTTGGGCATACGTAACACGTGTCCCAGTCATCTCAACTGGTGAAGTTTCACCAAATCATCAACTGACTTGCCATCCTTGCCTAGTACCCGTGTCCTAACAACTGTGTTACTTACTCGATGGTCCCATGATATATGAGCAATGTTTCGAAGACACCTATGATCAAATACTGTTAACCTACGAATATCCTCTACTCTTACCGGCCATGTTTCACTGCCATAAATTAGGACGGAACGAACTGCTGCGCAGTAAACACGTCCTTTGGTTGATAGACGGATATCTCGCTTACGCCATAAATGACGCAAGTTGGCAAAAGCTAGTCGAGCCTTCTGTATCCGTGCTGAGATTTCGTCACACACCAGACCACAAGGGTTGATGAGACTTCCAAGATAAGTGAAGCGGTCGACACACTCAACTACTTCACTCCCTATCACTAGTTCGGGTGTCGATGTAACCCAATCCTGAAGCAACATTTTGCATTTCGAGGGAGAGAATCGCATCCCGAACATGCTTGCATTGTTGCTTAGAGTGGTCAAAAGACTCTGCATTTTGTCAGCGTCTTCACCAACTAAAACTATGTCATCTGCATATTCTAAGTCAACAAGTGAACCTCCCGGTAGAAGTTCAACCCCTGGAAATTAAGATGAGGAGAGTGTTATCTCTAAAGTACGTCGACCACAAAGTTGAACAAGAATGGGGAGAGTGGACAGTCTTGACGAACACCACTTGAGGTAATCAATTCTGATGACAGTTCGCCATAAGCTCTCACTGGACCAGTTGTGTTCGAGTAGAGAGCCTTTATAAGGTTAATGTACTTCTTTGGTACTCCTTTCAGTGACAAACACTGCCATTGAACCTCACGATCAACAGAGTCGAATGCCGCCTTAAGGTCGAGAAATACTACCACTGTGGGGCGAGATATCCGTCTATCAATTAAAGGACGAGTATACTGCTCAACAGTTCGTTCTGTTCTAACTTACGGCTGCGAAACGTGGTCATGAAGAGTAGAAGATACTCGTAAACTACTGATATTTGACCACAGATACCTTAGAATTATTGCTTGTATCTGCTGAGAACACCGGGTAAATAATAGTGAGGTTAGACACAGGGTATTACGAAATGATAGTAAATCAGTTGAGGAGGTTGTGAATGTTCATAGACTGAGATGGTTGGGTCACGTGTTCTTACGTATACCTGGACTCCGATTACCATGACGCGCAGTGCTGACTAGTGTTGGAGACGGTTGGAAGAAATTTAGGAGCGGCCAAACTAAAACGTGGCATCAATGCTTGAAGTCACTAACTTCTAGTCTCAGTCATGTTGATAGATGCAGACCACTTGGTTGTGGTCCACGTGACTATCGTAACCAATGGTTGGAAATTCTGGTGACATGACAAAGAATGGATCACAGTGGTGTAGGTTTATACGCTCTTTGTTTTCCCTTAAACTGTGAGATTAAAACTGCTTTATATCTTTCTTTCTACGAACTAATTCTGTATTATATCCGTGTACGCAATCCTTCTTTTGTATATTACCACCATTGAATTAACTACTTCTATGAATTTGGTGTCCGTCTTGTTGTGTTAATGAGGTATGGCAACTTGAACCGATGCATATATGTGCCTGGTCCTACGTTGTATCTGACTGACTAATATCAATGAAATGTAAAACTGTAATTATCCATGTGAATTTCCAAACTTTATCACTAGCAAAGCACTGAATTGTAACTCATTTACCAAGTATTCGATTCTGCCCTATACTGTTTGTATCCGAGATAATGATATTTCCCGACTACCAAAACTGAAGAAGATGAAAAAAGATTCGAAATTGAAATTATTTGATTAAAATTTAAATGTATTTTAATCACTAATTCACCGATCTGCAATTGCTAAGATCAGTGGGCTTAACTTCCAGTTGTTAAGTTTAAGGTTTTGTAATATTTACAACATTATTAAGAGTGTTCATACGTATATACTTATATATACTGTACCATTTATTTATTTTTATACTTTTAGTTGTAGGCAACCAATACCTTTGGATAAATTGATTCCATTCAAAACAAGTGTTATTATTGTATTCCATAATGAAGCTTGGTCAGCTTTATTGCGTACTGTTCATTCGGTTCTTGATCGTACACCAGTACAATTGCTTCATGAAATTATTCTTGTAGATGATGCTAGTACACAATGTAGGTAGTTAATGCTATTTCATTTTTATTTTGACTAAACTTTTAATTTCCTACTAAAATGTTTAGATTGAATGAAATGATTATCACTGAATTCAAATCTTGATGGTATATTCCATTGTTGTATTGTAAACTAGACGAAATGCGAATTTCATAATTCATTCTTACAAAATCTTAAAAATATCCATAACATATTTTGTTATTCCTTAGTTTTTTTTGAGTATATGTTCTTATTTATTTATTTATTTGTATACATAAATACTGGTACAAGGGGGCACCAGTTACATATGTGCCACACAAATCTCATTTGGTATATGTGAGAGCTGTGATACTGCCCGGGTGCCCAAACCGAAACAGGTGGTTTCCTTAGGGGGTCATACCCGGAGCCTTCGACCTAAAGGTATAATCCACATAGCAGTGAAGCAATGTCAGAAGATGCAGTCCCATGGTAGCCGGTGACCAACAATTGATTCATACACTGTTTGTTTTCTCAGGGTCCTAGAGTCCATGTACACCGTTGGTTTGGAATCAGGGTTTTCCACCTCCCCTAGGTGGATCCTCCATATCCACCGACCTGGTGAAAGCGCCAGACATTCGCCTTTTTTCCTCTCAATTTCGTAAACAACAGTAGTGTCACGAGAAGGCGATGAGTAGGACTTCACTGGCAGAGGCTATATACGCGTGGCTGTGTGATAGCATTTCGAGAGGAAGAGTGGACTCTCCTTACTCTCGGTCGTACCAGGGCATTTCGGGGGCAGTATATGTTCTGGTTGTTATCCGCTCGATAATAGCAATCACTGATGGATAGAGACGCTAAGTAAGATAGTTCGTAATCAGTCAAGATCGTACAGATTCTCGATGTTTAGTTTGTCCCATTAAAATTACAGCTACCACTGTTTTCACTTCTTCAGTATTTATCTTATTCATCCCATCTCCTTGTGCTAAAATAATAAAGCGATTTGCGATAATATACATTTATGTTGATTAATACTGAGGGACTTAATATGAATACATATCTACAAAAAATGAAAGGCATTAAGTGAGTTTTTCACACCATTCTCAATGTACTTGTCTAATCATAATAGAGGACTAAATTTGACATATTTGCCACTAATTTTCAAATTATTATCTTGCTTTATTAATCAACGACCACCTCTCCTTTTCAAAATTGAGCCATATCATATTTGTGGTTTAATCATAATGGTGGTAGTCATATAAGTCATATCTAAAATAGATCATTACAAGATTCTATGTTGTTAATTCAAGTGTGTTTTTGCACATATCTCTTCTTCATTAAATCGATAAACTTAGAAACCTTTTCTGTTTAATTAAGAAGTACACTAATAAGTTTAACATAGACAGTACTTTTAATATGAATTTTAGTGCAAACTTAATAGTCACTGAAGCTCTATATTATCAAACCCTTAAAAATTGATTAGTAATTTCAGTAGTTGAAATCATGAGTGAGTTAAAGCTAGACCACCATGGAAGACTTGGAAGCACTGAACGGCCGTTTCGTCCTAGTATGGGACTCCTCAGCAGTGCGTACTCACGATCCCGCCATTCGCGGGGTTCGAACCCAGGACCTATCAGTCTCACGCGCGAGCGCTCAACCATTAGACCACTGAGCTGGCATCCAACGATGTTAATGTCTAACTTCAGCCAATCCAGGAAATTGCGCCACCGTCACCATTGTCTCCAGTGATCTCATATCTCACAACAGACTTGGTTGAACTCTACTGGTCACGGCTTCTCACTAGAACTCCAGGAGTGTCTCTTGAAGTCAGTCACTAGTGAGCAGATGATTATTATCAGAAATGGTGAATATGCATTGCTGAGGAGTCCCATACTAGGAAGAAACGGCAGTCCAGTGCTTCCTGGTTTTCCATGGTGGTCTAGCTTCAATTGACTCATGATTTCAATTATTGAAATTACTAAAATCTCCACAAAACCCTTTCTGATATCAAGGATTAGCCTTGTTATCACTAACTACTCCTTTCAATGTATTCTTAATAGTTCTAATCACTGGCGTAGTCGATCAGCCAACTCACTATTACGTAACTTGATTCAATTGAGAGCTATCCAATATAAACACAGTTTAGCTTCACAAACAACAGTCAGAATTTCAAAAACAAAAATATGTCACATTATGAATAAGTTTTGGTGGGTAATTTCAGACGTATTCGATTTTGTTCTTCTTCGCCACATCATTTATAGTATACCTTTGTCCATCAATTAATTCGAGTTTAGAAAAGTTAAACTTTGGATCAAATGAAGTAGTTATGTTTTTGATGTGCAAAATTGCTACCTGCCTCGACTTTTTTCTCATCTTAATATGAAGCTTGTTTAAGTAGATTTATAATAAACAAAACATCTAGTCAATGGTATTAGAACAGTATTGGAAGATTTTGATGGATTTTTCTTCTCTGAGCTGTATGGTTTGGTCGTGGAACTTTCATCGTACTTCTGAACGACATCATCAGCTCAGAGGACAAAACTCCATCAAAATCATACACCTGAGCTACAAATCTTTTCAACCATATCAAGTATTGAAAAATGTTAACAACTTTATGAAATCCAATCGAAGGGAAAGCTTATTATTGAAATGTGCTCTCTCTCTCTCTCTCTCTCTCTCTATATATATATATATATATATATATATATATATATATATATATATATATATCGTTTCGTCTTGTGTAGTTCTGCACTATCCCAGTTTGTTCATATGTATCTATGATAATTTTCATTGTATCCAGCCCATTTAGGTGATCAATTGAAAACTTATGTAAATTCACTAAATAAGCCTGTACGAATTGAACGAATGTCAAATCGAAGTGGTTTAATACGTGCTCGATTACATGGAGCGAAAATTTCCACTGGTAAAACGCTTACATTCTTAGATGCACATTGTGAAGTGACTATTGGTTGGCTAGAAACTCTACTTAGACATATTTCAGAAAATCAAGAACGTATAGTTTGCCCGATCATTGATGTTATTAGTCATGATACGTTTGAATATCTTCTTGGTAAGTTTTCTTTTTTTTCCGATCTATTTTTCTCTCAATTTACACTTTGTCTTTTACTATTCATAAAATTTTGTATTTTTATCGTTGTTGATATTTAAGGTTGGATTTGATCAATCTCTGCTGGTAAAGGAGCTGGTTAGACGGGTGTTAAGATATTTCCTTTGGTGACAAAGCTTTAGTATATTTTGAATGGTGACTAGCAGTGAAATACAAAGGACGTGTTTCGTAGTATTCAGGACTCATCAGTTAGTGAATGTATCTTCATACCAGTGTGTGAGCACTAACACTGTTTGGATGTGCATAAATATTTAATAAATAGATAAAAACCTAAATCTTGGATTTTACTACTAGTGAGTATTGCACTGATGACATTAGAATGAGAATCATTCAATTCTCTAACCAACTGTAGCTGAAAATGTCAACAAAACCCAACTTAGTACATTGATGGTTGTAAAGAGACTGTAAGGTCCTAGGTTCGGTCCTTGTATGCTATTATAAGTGTCCGCCACTGTATAGTCTCATAATCAGATAAAATTACTGTTTACTTTTCAATGAGTTTAGCTGGTCCCTTGGTGTTGTGTTCTCAAAACTATAGTGTATACGAAACGCTTATTTTCGTTCTGGAAAATAACATTAGCCCGTGCTTCTTGTAAAATCGAGCTTTCTAGTTATTCCACAACTGTTAAATCAGTTCATTCTTATGGCATTATTTGTGATTGATTGTCTTTGTGTGTTTCGTTGTCTTCGTTTTTGCTTTCATTCTTGTTGATTGTCTTTTGCTGTTTACCTTTGATCATATAATTGACTAACGCTTTTCGTACCAATTATTATATTCGACCTGTGTTAATGTTTTTTATTGTTACTAATCGATCTAAACTTCATACTATCAGAAATTTGGTGAAATTCTTAAAATTTTAACACTTACAGTCGTAGTTGTTTGCATATATAGATATGAACGATAACAAATCATTTTACATTGCCATTAATCTTTGTTCATGTATGGCTTGATGTAACCTTGCAGCGATTTATTTTGAGGACAATGTTGCATCTATTTTCATTTGCTGTTGAGTCTTTCGATTTTTATAAATTAGAATAAAGTGATCGCGTTTGTTTACCAGCAACATCGATTCCAAACGGTTTCAGAATTCTCGATAAGACGCATCTATGATCTGTATGTGTAAAGGTTGTAGATGATTTCAAATAATGTGGTAAAGCTGATCGTGTTTTATGTTAAGCAACTTGATAATTTGTAAGTCATTTGTAAATTTACTGATTCATTTACTTGACCCTGAGCGAAACATTTTGTGTAAAGCCTATATATGAATATCAAAGCAGGTGATGGGGTTTGAAACTGAGACTAAGCGGCCCCCAAATGCCATGGTGCGGCCGAGAGTAGGAAAAGTCAGATCTCCCCCCCCAAATACTCTCACATGGCCACACGCACAGAACCACTGTCAGGGAAGTCCTGCTCACTACCTTATCACGGCACTACTGTTGTTTACGAAATTGAGAGGATGAAAAGCAAATGTCCGGCGCTTTCACCAAGTCAGTGGATATGGAGGATTCACCTAGGGGAGGTGGAAAACCCTCATTCCCAACCAACAGTGTACATGAACTCTAGGACCTTGAGGAAACAAATAGCGTATGAACCAATTGTTGGTCACCGGTTACCATGGGACTGCATCTTCTGACATTGCTCTACTGCCTTGTGAATTAGACCTTTAGGTCGACGGCTCTGGGTGTGGCCTCCTAAGGAAACCACCTGTTTCGGTTTGGGCACCCGGGCAGTATCACATCCCACATACAAATCGATAATAACTACTGGAAAAAGTAATCATGTTTTGTTTTTCATTCAGACAAACATAAGATAACATTTGGTTTTTTTTTCTTTTATACCACGTCACTCATATACTTCCCTTTATTCTCTTTTTGCGTATTTTATTTTTCAACTTATACAGCAGCTCGCCTTTGATGTAAACCCTGTCCTATCTAAACGATCTCAAGTCACTGACTGATCGAAGGTTGAATGCTACCACCGACTACGAGTACTGAACCAGTCTTCCTGAAACCACGTATATCATTCAAACTGGCCTCGTTCAACGTTCACATGCGAATGCAACAACAGATAGGGTTGATTGTCTTTAGAAAGTTTTAATATCAGTGCCTGTTGTCTGTCCGAGACTTACATTCAAGAATCTAGTGAAGTATTTCAAATTCGCTGTCTATCTGTCCCGTCGAGAAGTTTGTTTCACGTGCATTTATCCAGGGACTCTTTGGCATCTTCGTCTGGTTTTGCTGGCGTTGGTGTTGAACTAAGCTCTAGAGCTGAGGCAGCACTGATCGATTGGTTCCCCATTAACAGTTGGCTATATGCTTTTAGATTAGAAATTTCCATCAAAGTGCGAAGAAATTGGTGTGAGAAACGATACGTTTTCGTTATCTCCGCCTACACCAGTTAACTCTTCCACAGAAAGTGCATTCAACAGATATTGTATTACTAACCGGAGACTTGAATGCTTAGGTCGGGCGTCTAGGCACAGAAGAGAGTGACTCAGGTGGTCTATGGGGACTTATTGGTCGCAGGTCAAATAACGGTGACTGTCTACAACTCATTTCTAGCTAGCACTAACTATCGATACAGTCATTTCCGGTATGCTACCTGGTATGATCCATCTGCATCTCAAACCTGGATTCAGGTTAATCACATGGCAATCAGCGACCGTTGTTGTGATCGCGAACTAGATTGGCACTAACTTTTGGAGTACCTATCTGGACTCTGATCATGCCCTTGTTTGCGTTAATCTCACCTTACTTTCCAGTAGCCAAATAATTCTTCGTCCTAAAAAGATCGATGTCAGCAAATTGGTTGTAGCTTCTGTTGCAACTAAACATCAAACCGATCTAGGTTCAAGGCTAGCTACCACCCCACCGAGAAATATAGATGAGCATTGGCTGAAGTTGTTTAACACTATGAAAATGGCAAGTCGCTTGCAGCTTCGCGAAACGTCCCGCATATAAATGGTCAGTGTGTGACATGGCGTCGCAGTGTAAAAGAGAGCTATACAATTCTGGTTTCTGCTAGTCGTTCACGACTCCCTGGTTGGGGTCGTAGAGATGGCACAACACAGTGTCTTGAGACGTCATCAGAATTGGCTCAGAATAGAAGCCAGTGGCGATCCTGCTGTAACTTTCTCCATAAAAGTAGACGTAACGTATTTAACTGAAAGAATTCTTTCTGGTTGTGTTTTTACAAACTGAGCTACTTCTCCCATTATTATTATTATTATTATTATTATTATTATTATTATTATTATTATTTTACTCTCATACGCTAATTTCTGTTCGTTGTCGTCTTGTTTTTTTCTTATACACACTTTACATTCTCTATGTCTTCATATCCTGATTGTTATTGTGTGGCGCATAAGTATTTGGTGCCCTTATGTACTAGTATTCATATGTTCCAATAATAATAATAAGTGGTTAAAATTTAAATGCTTATTATGATTATAATGGTTAATTATCGGAAAAGTCTCGGGAACACTGTGATAATGATGTAATGTTCAGCATTCAACAGGTTTACATCTAACCTGAAGGTACGTTTTGTGCTGAGTAAGAGTAAATTTTAAAAACAGTCTGTACAAGTGAATCTAGAAGAAAGGAAAAATAATGAACCGGTAACTTACTAACCACATAGGATGCACTGTTGATAGTGAAAACAATTGATAACAATCATTAATAACAGGTATGAGGTCAAGAAAATCTGGTAATCGAAACTAGAAATTGATAGAGTAACATTTCGAACGTGTTATGATGTAAACATGGAATTGTAGTAACCATACACACATTAATGAGTGATCATCATAATTATATTGTTTGTCACATAAAGTAAACTTAAAAAAGACCCGACTTGAAATAAGATGTATGTTATGGGATTTTATTTAAATAACATAAGTTACAAACTAATAAACACTTGTAGTGTCGGCTACTATGTCAAGCCCATATAGTTTATTCTAGCTTCTGACCAGGCCAGTTTATTCATTCTTTTTGAGTCATGCTTTGACCTTGTTAACTATTCTCTTATCAACCCTGACTGTTTTCATATGTGTGTTTACATCTTATCCTACTCATCACATGTCGTTAGTTTATTTTTGTGTGACTGTAAATATCAATTAGTGCTTAATTAAATCGAGTTGATTCACATGCCTTCACCACCGCACATCATTTCGTTTCTCTTCGTTCCTTTGATCGTCTGCATAGATTAATGATTGTACAAAATACATGTACTCGATGAAACATTTGTCTAATGTATCCTAGTTTTTCTATGGTTATTTAAGATCAGTTCATGTTATAAACGATCAAACTAGGTATGAGTTTAGAGATCATATTATTTCGACTAAATAGCATCTAGTTGTTTCTGAATTTTCTTTTGTATGAAACTATATACACTATACTTATGATAAATAAACATTGTTTTTATTGATGATGTGATTGTCAATTAAGGTTCTGATCGTACATGGGGTACATTCGATTGGCAATTTAATTTCCATTGGGAAAATGTTGTAGATAGAGAAATAGAGCGTATTAATGATGAGCATAATGTCCCGTTACGAACACCTACTATGGCTGGTGGTTTATTCACCATTACTCGTGAATACTTTTATAAGGTAATAGAGTATTTTATGTATGTTCTTCTTTGATTTGTTTTTGAAATTTCGTTTAGAAAGTTGATCACGATCAGTTTGACATTTTCGCAGACAAAATGGTCCATGATTCATATCATTGGTTCCCTTCAAAAATTTCAACAAACCATGAATGATCATAATTGTATTTGTATGTCGTTGCTTTCTCTTCAGGTTCTTTGAAGTTAATTATTCTAAATTGATAACATTGTGAAAATTCCCATTTTGCCATTTGGTAAATAAAGAAGGAACGAATTGAGCGAAGAAATTTCTTTTCAATTAGTTTTTCATCATGGCTCTACACTAATATATATATATGTTTTACAATAATAATATAATACTCATCGAGTGGATACGTTACGTAATAATTACATAATGACATTTAAATTAACATTCAGTAATTGGAAGAGAGAGGATTATTAATATTCAAAGTAATCAAGAAGTTGCTAAGTTGCGTAATGTAAGAAACAAAGAAGGAATAGAATTTTACCGGATGGTCAATAGGATAGTAGTTACGTAAGAATCAAGAGATGAATGTTGAGAAGTTATAAGGCTCAAAAGCAACAGAAACAAAATTACAAAAATTTAAAATTAAAATAAAAAATGGAAGAAGCATGAAAAATAGTTCTTCTGACGGAAATTTTATACATTGTGTTAATCTCTCTCTCTGAAGACAAAGATCAGGCTGAAGCTTTCGGTTTGTTATAACTTCTGCGAGTTTCAATAGTGTAGAATGAAACTGTTCATTGATAATGTTGAATGATTTCATTGGATCCACATTATGCTCCATGTTTAGAAGGTGAAATCAACAAAATACAGTGAATTCATTGTATTATACAAATGTGATCGTTCTTATTCTGTCCATGATTGCCGGAGTTTCAATCTTATACATGAAATTGCTAATGAAACGACATATTTCTCATGGATCTTAAATTAATGGAGCTCCAGAATATAGTATATTCTTAGAGAATACTTTTTGATGATATTATCGTTCTGACTATTAAACTAACTAGCATATAGCACAGAACCACTAAAATTCGTCTGAGTTGCATATTTATTCTCTAACTGTTGTTTCAATCCATAACTTTTACTACAATTGTGTTTTCCATCCGGGATGCCATACCATACTCTATATTGAACAAAGAGTAGACTGTTGTAGCTTACTCCAGCCTCTTGAAATGAAGTATTCAATAAAACGTACATCATATTGTACATAATTTACCTATTATATAATCGGATGTCTTTGGTACCACCCCATTAATAAACAAGGAAAACATTGCGGACAAATTCAGTCGGTATTTTGGTATTGTAGCTCAAATGACCTCTCTTTCCTAGGATAATTCCTTCTCGCTTCATTCATCTCTCATGCTGTACTGATGTTAGGTATAACAAATTATACCGATGCAAACATTCTTAGTTTTAATTTAATTCAATGATTAAGCAAGGAAGTCACATTATACACTAGGATGAGCTCTAGTTTTACTTGAGTTTGTTTAGAAGTAGAATGTGAAACTACATTTCAGGTCATCAAAACCCCGAGTACTTTATTTAATGAACCATCTAACATGTCCTTGCATAGTATTCTAGGAAAGTGTCATCTACTTCTTACTCTTCATTTCTAGATTGGTGCTTATGACGAAGATATGGAAATATGGGGTGGTGAAAATATTGAATTATCATTTCGTGTTTGGCAATGTGGCGGTGAATTACTAATCGATCCTTGTAGTCGTGTTGGACATGTATTTCGTAAATCTTCACCATATACATGGCCCGGTGGTGTTAGTCATATATTACATAAGAATTTTGTACGTACTGCACTAGTTTGGTTAGATCAGTATAGTCGATTTTATTTTATGCTGAATCCATGTAAGTAATTGGTAAACCATATCATCATCATTATGACTTCAATTACACTTATTTGCTTTTTGTTTCTCAATAAAAATGACACGTCAATCTGTCATATTTCGTCGATTATAACTCAATCCTAACTTGGCTTTTCTTCTCAAAGGATGCTTAAATTACTTATTGTTATGACATCTTATCATGTGTACCTAACCACCGCCTGCCCTAACGCTCGATGTTTGTTGGCGTCGGAATAGGTTTTTTTTTTAAAAAAAAAAGATAGGAGACGGCCAAATAACTTGTAACGTGTGATGATAGCTTAAGAAAAAGTGATTATATAACTTAGTCTGTTGCTTATAAGTTCATTATTGTATGATATTACAAATAAGTAAGTTATCGACTAGTCAATACTAAATGCTGCCGCTTTTCAGTGTATACAAATTTGACTATTAATCTGACTGAATAAATTTATTGACCATTTTGATGTACTTTAGGGGTCAAATAATTTCTTGTCTATATTTTTGTGTTCTTACCTGCGTCGTTTGATTCTCAGTCTTCCAGTACCAAGTCTGCTAACCACCCCACAAATGTAACACTTCATATATCTCTTTCCATTCTGTATTCTCGAACCATATTTTCAGTGTTCATTTTTTGTCATTGTTATCGTTAGTACATTACTTTAATTCATTTCCTGTTCATTCTTTTCAAGTTATCTCGATATGTTAATATGGTATGTCGACATATGTCAATACATATATGCCAGACTATACGCTTATTATGGTTGGCTCGCTCTGAATATTGTTAAGACATTAAGAGTCTAACACTATCAAGGATCGTGTTGTAAGGTATCTTCAGAACGGAACAATTCATATTCATGCTCTTAAACTTGTAAATTTGCAATTTTTAACAAGGCTCACAAGTCACACTATTGTTATTGTTGGCTATTTAAACACGTAAACATTAGTACAAGGAGGAGCCAAATAGACATGCGTCACATGAATCATTCTACATGTGTGAGGGCTGGGATACTTTCTGGATGCCCGAACCGAAGCAGGTGGTTTCCTTAGGAGGCCACACCCAGAGCCTTCGACCTAAAGTTCTAATCCACATGGCAGTGAAGCAATGTCAGAAGATGCAGTCCCATGGTAACCGGTGACCAACAAATAGCAATTTCAACCTTATGTGTTTTATAGTCTAGACAATTATCGAAACCCAGGAGGAACTGAATAGCTTTTTGTCCTAATACAGGACTCAGCAGTGCAAATCTACTACCCTACCGAGGATCGGACCTCAATTTTTTGGGCATTGGAATGATCACTTAACCCTTAGTAGACGTCCGATGATTTACATTTCCTGTTTTAGTCATCGCATGATACCATACAACCATCTAATGACATTGATAAGCAAATACCTCATATCAGACAATCAAATTCAATTGTCTCCACAACCCCGTTACACTGAACTATATTTACTCTTGGATCATCATTATCATTATATATTTTCATTAGTAGCTAACCAGTGTGTAATCTATGTTTCATGAATCTTTCTTAAATAATCAAGTATATAATTAATTTCTTAAATTATTCTATCGAGGAATTATTACATGCCAACGAACTACCTACCGAAAAATACCGACATTTATAAGTTGGTTCTTTTTTTTTCTCAGCGATGGGTTAAATTAATTACATCTTTCTAGGGAAAGGGTGGTAGAAGGATAAGCCCACACAAGTACTTTAATTTCATGTTCGTCGAAACTATTTGAACAAGTTGTTTCCAATCGGATAAAATGTCATTTGAATGTTTGTATATATACAAGTATGGGAACATTTAAAATAGTTAAATAGGGTATATAAAAAGATTAAAAAATAATTGATGAAACAACTGTAATTTATTCATAGTTTAATCGTTTACATACTGGAGTGTACTTGAGTTGAAACTGTGGGTTATGGAAACTAGATTGAAGTAGAAAGTGTGCTACATCAATCAATCATAAAAAAATAGACCTGCGCGAAATGTACATCAAATAAAGTTGCAACACATTATCAGAGAAGCACTACTCCCTTGTAGCCCCTTTAGGATTATTGCCAGTCCGAGGTCGGAAAAAGGAGGAGGTTCAGGCGAAAGGTTAACAATACCATCTTATAGCAAAGAACCATGCTAAGGAAAATGCAAACTATGGAAACTGATTTAAACGCTGCGTTAGGAGTTGATGGTTATCCATAAAGAAGAATTATGACGCCTCATGATGAAGTGAAAACCAAAATTCTTTGGAGCTCACGAGGTCGATATCACTTCTAACAAACAGAGCAACGATAAATATGGATACATGGGATGTTCGCACAATGTGGGAGACTGAGAGGACTAGTAAAATATCGATGAAAATGAGAACATATAACCTGGTGATGCTCAGAAGAAGTGGAACTGATTGGACGCAAGCTGAATAGAAAGGATAAGATTCGAGAGAGAAGCTGTTGCACACTAGTCATGAAGAAGATAAACCTTCCCATACACAAGGAGTTGTGGTCATGCTGTTCAAAGAAGTACTAAAGATACATATGGAATGGGAATCTCATGAATCCAGGATCATCAAAGCATCCTTCAATACAACAAAGAAGGAGAGAATCACAATGAATTTTGTCCAGTGAAATACACTCACCAGCGATTTCAACAAACACAGCAAATATGAGTTTCATGAGAAGCTGCAGTCAATCGCACAGACATGCACAGGGAACAACCTAATAATCCTGATGGGAAAACTAAACATCAAGGTTGGAATGGACAACACCTGGTATGGAGATAACATGGGCTGACGAAAATGGTGAGAGATTTGCAAATTTGTGTGCCTTCAGCAAAATGGTTATAGATGCGACTATTCTCCCCCTACACACGCATACATAGATCTACATGGGTTTCACTTGACCACACTACACAGAACCAGATTGGTTACATTTGCGTCGATAAGAAATTAAGTAGGTCCATGGAAGACGTGGGCAAAATGATTAAAACTTACATAGCTTCAGATCACCATCTACCTGGTGGTTGCTAGGATGAAACTGAAGCTAAAGAAGGTTCAATGTAGCCTTCCTTCGGGGTCTCAACATATTCAGAGGAAAAGAAAGATGCCAAAATACAACACAGTGAGCATTAATATAATCACCCTTGATGAAGAAGTTATAGAAGCAGACGAAACTTTCACGTACCTGATCAGCATAATCGATAAACATGGAGAATCTGATGCAGATGTGGAGACAAATATTGACAGAGAAAGGGATATACATCTACAATTGTAGAGCACGTGGAAATCGAAACACCTGTCCACCAACATCATAGTCAAAATTTTCAATGCGAAAGCCAAAACATTTCGATTGTACGGAGCTAAAACGCGGACAGCAACTACAGTCATTATCGAAAATGTACAGGTATTTATTAACAGTTGCCTAATGTCATAAGCGACAACCTACTGTGACAGAAAATATATCAGCTTGTAGTTGGAGATGAAAATAGGAAAAGAACCTGGAGGCGGATAGACTATACATTGTGGAAATCATCAGACTGCATTACGAAGAAATCCCTAACTTGGAATCCTGAATGTCAAACCAAGGAACACATTGCACCGGAAATCAGAATTTAGGAACCCATATTATCTATATTCGATAACGAGCTACATTCCCATTGTGTGTGTAGAAGTACATGCTCTTCCTGGTATAAATTTGTTTGTTCAGTAGTTACAAATCCTAAATAATATGATTTCCCAATATTTACACTTCATACTTCAATGTATTATTTCTAGTCTAGTTATGTAATACCAAATTTAATGTATATGAATTTCTATGCAATGATAATGATCAACATAGACAGAAGACCACTGAGTCGGCATCTAACGGTGTTAATGTTTAACTTCAACCATTACAGTGGAGTTCAACCAGGTCTGTTTCGAGATATCAGCTCACTGAAGACAATGGTGACGGTGGCGCAATTTCGTGGATTGGTTGGAGTTAGACATGAACACCGTTGGGTGCTAACTCAATGGTTTAATAGTTAAGCGCTCGCACGCGTGACTGATAGGTCGAAGGTTCGAATCTCGCGGGGGGCGGGATCGTGGATGCGCACTGCTAAAGAGTCCCGTACTAGGACGAAACGGCCGTCCACTGCTTTCACGTTTTCCATGGTGGTCTAGCTTCAAGTGTCTCATGATTTCAACTATTGAACTTACTAAAATCTCCACAAAACCCCTTCTGATAATAGACAGAAGAGTTAAACGACAGACATTCTTTAATAAAAAAAACCCTCCAGCTTCTGATAAGTAGACTGACATTATCTTTTCTTTTTTCCTTGAACTATTGACCTAATTCCTTATCAAATCTCAATCTGATCTTTTCCAATAATGCTTGTTATGCAACCGGTTGCTTTCGTACAAGTCAAACTGAATTCAATAAGTTTAATTGAAATGTTCATGATCTAACAATTGTATAAATACTATTAAACCAGATAAAAATAGGCATCAATCTAAATTCATTACCAAGACAAGATAAAATATACGTGTATAACATGAAGAAAGAAAAAATTAACTGATATGTTACTTAATCCGTTTTTTTTTCGATTCAACAAGTTTTAACAACATTATTCTTAACCAGGTTGTAATTTTTCATTCATTCATGCTTAAACTTGAAGAGTACTATATCATATTCAATCACGAAATAAGTTTACTTCTATTTCTATTTCATTGACTTTCAATCGGTCGAACTTTTATTTATCCTATAATTGAATTCAAGACAATCGGAGACTATCTTCACTTCATACAGTAAGTCAGTCAGAAAACAACGTAGAACATCGTACATACATACATCAGTTCGACTTGCCATACCACATTAACACACAGAAACAAATGTCAATTCAAAACCCATAGTGGTAGAGGTAGTAAAAGTATAAGTAGTGATCGGAAAGATTAGGGCTTGAAGATGCTATTCAAGGAGTATAATACAGTGAAATAAATTTGGAAAGAGAAAAAGAAAAGGGATATGAATAATCCAGACGACTAGAATTTGTGAGAACACAAAGAGTGGATGCACCTGATCCATTGCAAACGATTTTGAGCCATGTCATTCCGGGTATCTAACCGTCGGTTGCTATCATCTCGCGGATCCCAACCACGTAGTGTACACCTAACAACATGGCTCACTCAGTCCACTTGTCAGTGACTTCATGGATTTGTGCCATGTTTTGGTCTGGCCGCCCATAGATTACTTCAAACCTAATCCTACACCATGAAACATCGCACGTCAGGGCAGTGTGTGGTTGGTCATGCGTAACACATTTCCCAGCCATCTCAAATGATGAAGTTCCATTACTTCATCAATTGATTTGTCATCCTTATCTAATACCCGTTTCCTAACAAGTGGATTACTTACTCGGTGGTGGTATGATATATGAGTAATACTTCGAAGACATCTATGATCAAATACTAGTAAACTACGATTATCCTCTACTCTTTCTGGATATTCGTACTTTACTAGTATTCGATACAATAAGTATAGCTCAAAGGTTAAATATTCTTTATTTGTTTTTTTTTTGAAGTGAATTATATTTAAATTATTCTGTTCACCAACGTTGGATTAGTTCCATTAGTTTGACCACATTGTTATATGAATGTAAATTCTAATAATACAAGAATAAATATATTTCCTTGAAAAAACTTGAACCAAGTTGCCCGGTGAAACGTTGAATTTACTTTGAATCCTTTCGCTGAGATTTTACAAATACCATATTCTTCCTCTTTAAGAGTAAATATTGTTTAAGAATTTAAGTCTATATCTATACATGTACACTCATTTTTACTATTAATATAATTGAAATGAACATTTCTTTCTTTCAATTTCATCATTTGAATATCTACTTATGTTTACTTGGTAACATAATATAATATGGTTTATTGATCTTACTATATATATTTATACATAAACAAATCGTACATATCACTTGAAAAAAAAAACATCTCAAAATGCTTTATTTGTTTTCTGTATTTCCTGAAACACTTGTCTTATATATCTGTTTGCTGATTGTTACACACACACACATTATTTATTTATTTTAACACATACGTATTGGTACAAGGAGGCACCAAATACATATGCGCCACACAAATCTCATTTGATTTGTGTGAGGGCTGTGATACTGCCCAGGTGCCCAAACCGAAACAGGTGATTTTCTTAGGAGGCCACACCCCGGAGCCTTCGACCTAAAGGTCTGATCCATAAGACAGTGGAGCAACGTAAGCAGATGCAGTCCCATGGTAGCCGGTGACCAACGATTGGTTCATACGCCATTTGTCCCTTCAGGATACTAGAGCCCATGTGCACCACTGGTTTGGAATCAGGGTTTTCCAACTCCCATAGGTGGACTCTCTATGTCCACCAACCTGGTTAAAGCGCCGGACATTCGATTTTCGTCCTGTCAATTTCGTAAACAACACCGTCGCCACGAGAAGACAATGAGTACCAAGATATTTGGGGGCGTTACACACACATATGTTTATTTAGTTTAGTTAGAAATCGAAGGTAGAAGAAAAATAAATAAAAGAAAAAAAATGAAAACTAGTTCAGTCGTTGGTTATAAATTCTTTAACCAAGTAAAGGACATGTGTATTACAGGTTTTGTTAAACACAAAAGCTAAGATTTTTAACTCGAATTCTTTAATATGTGATGGATAAGATCAAACCCGATTGGAAATTATTAAAAGTACACAATAAATTGCTTTTGATTTAAAAAAAACTGACTACTATCGAATAAATCTGATTAATGATAGTCTTAAACGCTCTGTAATTAGTATATTTATTAGTTAGAATGCTTTATACACCTGATAATAAATGATAAACTAGTTGTTAAATGATTAGAATATCTATTTGTAGGTTGGTCTAAGCTATACTCCATCCACTTCGTTATGGATAGTAATAGTATATTGCAGAAGTATCCCTAGTCTTCATACATAATACTTACGCCTGTTACTTCCAATGGACCATAGGTCGCCGAATAGGGAGGTTGATTATGAATACAGTGATCTTGAGTACTGTCAGAGGTATGAGGGCGGTTATCACTTTCCAGTTGCCCACACCGTGGAAGGGTTCTTCTGGATGTACCTGAGAAGGAAACCGGATTAGAGATGGTCTTAGTGACCTGAGAGCGTGACCGCAGTGCCCAAGGGACAACTGCTTGAGGTCGGTCACACACGACCTTTTTATGGGTAATTTTTGTGCTAGCTCCGTACTTGTTGAGACCTTACCGCCGGAGACGGATATCCGTGGGATAAGGCGAGGTGTGCATTTTTAGGGTCGACCTTTTCTAACCCCACCCCTCCTTGTGGGAAGGCAGCATCGCTGTCATGCTGGTTGTCTGAAGGAAACACCTTACTGCTGTCACACCTCTGTACAGTCAGCAGTCCGACTTCGCCTTTGGACCTTGGGTTTATTGCTTTTAGTCTTACCGCTCTTCAACCGACCTGTCTGATATGGTAAGACCTTGAGGAACGGTTGTTCCAGCCAGTATAGCTCGGTTGCTTCATCACGATAGGCAAGCCCGACCACCACGTCAAGGTAGCAACAACGGTCGTGTAGGCCGCTGACCAGCATTAAATGAGTTATAATACATATTGTACACTATTGTTGTAATAATAATCATTATATCTGTTACATTATGCAATATTCTAATTTGTTTTTATAATTGTTATACATACATATATATATATATATCTTTTCACTTACACTAATAAAGCTGCTTTATCAGTTGACTATGGAGATATTTCTAAACGTAAAAAACTTCGTCAACAATTAAATTGTAAAAGTTTTCGTTGGTATTTAGAGAAAATTTATCCTGAATCATCTATTCCAATTGATGTGATAAGATTAGGTGAAGTAAGTGTTTCGTTTTTACATAATGCATAATGATAATCTTGCTATTACATCATCATGTCGATTATGCGTTTTGTCAAATTATTTGCTTGTTTATCTAAAGGATAGATGTACATATATATACACCAATGAGTTGTGTACCCTTTCATTCGGTTTGTCAATTACAACTTCCTAGTCATTCTTAGTATTCTTATTGACGTATCAATTTAGGGTCACGTATGTATATATATCAATATCTAAATCAGTTGACAGGACAACGTAACAGTTTTGATGGAGTTTTGTTCTCTGAGCTGGATGGTTTGGTCGTGGAGCTTTCATGTGAAACACATATGGAGAAATCCGAACACTTCACTTCTATCTGAAGTTTGTGCTGATGATGTCGTTCAGAAGAACGATGAAAGCTCCACGACCAAGCCATCCAGCTCAGAGAACAAAACTCCATCAAAATCATCCACCTGAGCTACAAATCTTCTCCACCATCTCAACGTAACAGTTCCCCTAAATAACAAATAGACTATCGACTCCAAATTCGATTTTCGCTCTCCAATTTCATTTCAACAACCAGTTATACTTATAACGACTTTGTTTTAATTCAAATTACGGGCTGAAACATCGAATAAATATTTACATTTATTTGTTCCGTCGAATATTCGAAGAAATATTCACTGTTTTTTTCCTCAAAGTATGTTTGGTACATTGTCAATTTCTTAGTGTTCTCAATCTGTTCCTCCTATCAATTTTTAACATATTTTCTTGCTTCAAATATAAGGACAATCATAGGTGTATGGTTTTTTTCATCAGATTTACATCTTAATCACTTAGTCAGTGAATTCATAAGTTTATCATTATGTATCCGTTTTCTAAAATGCTGGAATTCGACACAGAATCTGTTCAAATCCTTATGGTTGTGAATAAAGAAAAAGCAACAATGTGTGTCCCTATCCTTCCGAGTTCTTATGAAGCCGTTTCGCTGAACAGCACATAGACGACTGTTAACGGGGATCCATTCTAATAGTGCTTGTTCTACCTTCGTACTTAGTGCTATGCCTACACCCACCAGTTCACGGGAACTAGCCATCGGGTCGCCAGATACACGGATGGTTGTATGTCGTTGACTCTCCGTTTCGACGAATTGAGGTTAAGTGTGTGATAACCACACTAGGATCCTGTATACGTGTTTCAGAGACACAGCATATATCAATGGTACGAGATTCTAGGGTTTTAGCCAAGGAGGTCTACTGGCCGATTGGACACACGGTGCGTATGTTGAAGGCTCCAATGTGTCGTTTGAAGCGAGGTTTCAGTAGACCTGGGACAGTGTTTCGCACACTTGAGATTATGAATTTGTTTTTTGTTTTTTGTGTTATTCTGGTAATGACTTAGACTGAATACAAATATTATCTCTACTTATTAGCCTTATATATACAAATATCCATGTGAAGTAGTAGTGTTTCTTTTTATTGGGTTATTTTCATTTCTTTTTTTTATTGATCAATCCCCATATTTGGAAAAAGAAAAAGAAAACAACAACATTCATTGAAAGATCGAATTAGTAATTGAACATTAGTCACAATTTTATGTCTTTTTGTTTATTTTTATATCAAGTTTAATGGAAAATTGAAACATTCAAATTAATTGGCTACGCCTAGAATCCATGCTACTCTTATTCATAATCATAATCACAATAATTACTATTGCCTATTATTCTGTTGTCATCAGGGTTTTGCTTTTCTTCTTCTTCGTCAACTGATCAATCATTAAGACACAAACCTGTTCTGATGTTAAGAAAGAACATTGTTTTTGTTATTGTTTACCATTTCATAGTTTATGGAAATATGTCCTTTTCAATACTCGTTCAAATGTCATTTTGTTTATTTATTAAACGGAATACACCTATTAAGACATTAAATAAGAAAGATTAATTCAGTGAAGAGTTGTATTTTCAGTGAATTCCAACTCTTATCCTCATTCACATGAAATGAATCACTTTTCAGTAATATAGAAATATGTAGACAAAAGTCTTGGACATGAAAAGATTTCAAGTTTTAAGTGACTTAGATTTTGTTATGGTTAATGGATCAATGGTTTTGTTTGTCCTCCTCTCTGTCAATTTATGGCAGTGAAACATAGCCAATAAGAGTAGAGGATAATCGTAGTTTACTAGTATTTGATCATAGATGTCTTCGAAGTATTACTCATATATCATCCTACCACCACCGAGTAAGTAATCCACTTGTTAGGAAACGGGTATTAGATAAAGATGACAAATCAATAGATGAAGTAATGGAACTTCATCAGTTAAGATGGCTGGGACATGTGTTACGTATGATCAACCACAGACTGCCCCGACGTGCGATGTTTCATGGTGTAGGATTAGGTTTGAAGTAATCTATAGGCGGCTAGACCAAAACATGGCACAAATCCATGAAGTCACTGACAAGTGGACTGAGTGAGCCATGTTGTTAGGTGTACACTACGTGGTTGGGATCCGCGAGATGATAGCAACCGACGGTTAGATACCCGGAATGACATGGCTCAAAATCGTTTGCAATGGATCAGGTGCATCCACTCTTTGTGTTCTCACAAATTCTAGTCGTCTGGATTATTCATATCCCTTTTCTTTTTCTCTTTCCAAATTTATTTCACTGTATTATACTCCTTGAATAGCATCTTCAAGCCCTAATCTTTCCGATCACTACTTATACTTTTACTACCTCTACCACTATGGGTTTTGAATTGACATTTGTTTCTGTGTGTTAATGTGGTATGGCAAGTCGAACTGATGTATGTATGTACGATGTTCTACGTTGTTTTCCGACTAGCTGGCTGATTTCTATTAATTGTTTATACCTTCTGGTATATCAATGATTTTACCGTTCATTTCACTTCTTTTATTGATTACTATAATATATTCCTTAAGTCCGTCACAGAATAATAAATTCGTCAAAACGAGTTTATTTCCGAAACAAATCTGAAAACAATGTATATGTATTTTATGCAATGATTTGTGATCAAGAAATAAGGTTTATCATCTCACCTAAATATTTATAGAAGAGGGAACTTATTAAATGTTAGAAAATGTATGATCAAAGTGTAACAGAATTAGGATCATGTTATAGAAAGTAATTCAATTGACTGTTTTTGTACACACAAATCTAATGTTGAAACTCGGTGGACCAAATTTCTTTAATAGATTATAGTTTTAAGTGTAGGTCCCTCTTATCGTTTGCCTAGATCTTCTAAACTATCTCAAAAGAAAGGACTTAAAACTAGATGTCCAAAATCTACTACACGATGGAGAATGGAGAACTGAATTTATATAAGTTAACCGTTGTCAAATCATATAGGGGAAAACCCTATTGAATGTTTTGAAGAATATGATCTCAACAGATGACCTACATTTCTTACTTCACTAAAGTATATATACATTGAATTAGTCAGTCATGGTTACTTATCTTTTATACATAGGTATTTAGGTATGTTGGAAGATTCTATTTAGTTAATTTTTATATCGATCACAACTCATCATAATAATACTCTAACAAACATACATAAATTATTTTATTGAAAAAGCATAGACATTCTTGCGATACAGTCAGTCAGTCAGCTACAACGTAGGACCAAGCACATATGTGCATCGGTCCAGGTTGCCATACCGCATCAGCACAACAAGATGAACACCGGATTCATAGCAGTGGTTAGGTCAAAGGTGGTAATATATAAGAGAAAGATTGCATATAGAGATATAATACAAGAAGAAAGAATTAGTTCGTAGAAAGAAAGATATGAAGCGATTTTAATATCTTAGTTTAAGGGAAGACAGGGAGTGTATGCACCGACGCCATTGTGATCGATTCTGAGCCATGTCACCAAGAGTCTCCAACCATTGGTTACGAAAGTCACGCGGACCCCAACCAAGTAGTCTGCATCTACCAACATGGCTCAGACTAGAAGTTAGTGTCTTCAAGCACTGATGCCACGTTTTGGTTTGGCCGCCCCTAACTTTCTTCCAACCATCTCCAATACCGGATAGCATTGCACTTCGTGGTAATCGGTGTTCAGGCATACGTAATACGTGGCCCAACCATCTCAGTCAATGAAGATTCATAACCTCATCAACTGATTTACCATCATTCCCTAATACCCTGCGTCTAACCTCACTATTACTTATCCGGTTATCCCAGCAGACGCCAGCAATATTTCTAAGGCATTTGTGGTCAAATACTAATAGCTTACGAGTGTCTTCTACTCTTAAAGGCCATGTTTCGCTGCCGTAAATTAAAACAGAACGGACTGCCGCGCAGTATACTCGTCCTTTTATTGATAGACGGATATCTCGCCTTCGCCATAGGTGACGTAAGTTGGCAAAAGCCAAACGAGCTTTTCGAATCCGTGCTGAGATTTCGTCCGATACCAACCCATTAGGGCTGATCAGACTTCCAAGATAAGTGAAGTTGTCAACGCGTTCGACTACTTCACTGCCTATCCTTAGTTCAGGTGTTAAGGCAGACCAGTCCTGAAGCAACAACTTGCATTTAGAGGGAGAGAAGCGCATTCCAAACATACTGGCATTGTTGCTCAGTGCTACCAGAAGACTCTGCATTTTATCAGCGTCTTCACCAAACAGGACTATGTCATCTGCGTATTCTAATTCGATAAGTGGACCTCCTGGATGGAGATCAATACCCGAGAATTCAGTCGACAAGAGTGTTATTTCCATCAATAGGTCTATGTTCAAGTTAAACAAAAATGGAGAAAGTGGGCAGCCTTGATGGACACCACTTGAGGTTGCAAAGGTAGATGACAGTTCGCCATAAGCTCTGACTCGACTAGTAGTGTTCGAGTAAAGAGCCTTTACAAGGTTTATGTACTTCTGGGGTACGCCTTTCAATGACAGACACTGCCACAGAATTTCGCGGTCTACCGAGTCAAATGCTGCTTTTAAGTCAAGAAAGACCACCATTGTCGGACGCCGATAAGTATGCCTGTGTTACAGAACCTGA